TATGACTTCGTTCATTTGTTAAAAGAGAATTCAACAAGTGGTATAATTTGAAGGATTGAAAACGCGAAGGACTTTTAACTAGCGAAAGACCTCTAATAGGAGGGGATCAAAAGAAACACAAACATGCACTTTGCAAAGCATCCTGCGACTTTTAATGTTATTATTCCATTACCATTACAATAATCGACCTCCTAGTAATCTGTGGAACTGGCTGGAAGCGATGGTGTTTATCTTAGCAGAATGGATGTTTTGTCTCGGCATTTAGGCCTGAGCCTTAGGAACTTCTTCAATGAAGATCCGGGACACAGACTGCCAGCCTGTATAGGCGTCAGCAGCGCTTCTCGATCCACTTGGACAGTTACCAACCCAGAATCCCACGCGCACCTTTCCTTTGTGAATGTTGTTACAATGCCCCTCAATATGGCGAACGCGGTGAAGATCTTGAGTTTTGCCTTGCCACATGTACAGCACACCGTCAATGGGTAGAGGAGCTGAGCATTCTGCGCCGTTGAAAGTGAAATACCAGCGTTTGCAGCAGGATGCACACCCGTGGATTCTAAGGGCACCAGTCCAGGCAACGTGAAGAGCTGTGTCAGAAAAGTTCTTGGTGAAGACACAGTCCTAAATATGGGGGAGATAAACGTAGAATAGTCACATCATTTGGTTATAATAGGAGGTAAGATAAAAGTACAATTGAAGATAGCATTTTATACCAAATAAAGGATTTAACTCGTGAAAATTTACCTTTATTAAACCGTTGTCTTTGCCATCGTTTAATTTATTCCATGCGCACTCTTTCCAGTTCTTAAAAGGCATCAGACCTGGGTTCCCAGGGTGTCCACTTTGTCCACGCTCTCCTTTAGGACCAGGTGGGCCCTGTACACCAGACTCTCCTTTATCACCATCTTTTCCATTTATTCCACCGGGTCCCCGAGGCCCAGTCTTTCCCGGGCTTCCCGGGTCACCTTTCGCTCCTTCTCGGCCATCACGCCCGTCACGGCCTGGTAACCCGTGCATGCCTGGAATACTACCAAACCCGCAGAATGGGGGAGATTGCTAGAGAGCGAAACAAAAAGTTACTTTAAAAAGTGTTATTGTGCGTTGAGCAAAATAACTCCCTCACTGATATAGTCTCATCGGCGATGCTTAGCCACCTCTAGGGAAAAAAAAAAAGAAAAAGAAATAAAAGTACTGTGCCTTTATGACACACTTTAAGCAATTTAACCACCTTCCTTTCCCCCACCAGCCTTTCGGAAAATAAACCCCTGAAAAAGTTCTCACGAATATTTCATAATGTCTGCAAATATCCTTAAAATATTTTTTCCCTTCGTTTCCCGTTTCCCAACTCTATTTGGCTCGTTGTGTAGTGTAGTGGAGAAAATTTACATTAACGCATCGTTAGATATACGGTCAAGACATACAATTTAATCGAGACACAAAGTTAGTTGATGTTAATGAATTTAAGAAGTTCCCTAAAACCTCTTTCTAAATTATTTGTACTGATAAAGAGCGAGACTTTGTTAAAGTCATGGAAACCATTCTATTTTTTAAAGGAATCTATCCCATATCCGGGTTTAGCATTAATTGTAGTCATTTATTATGAATTGTTGCTCACAGTTTTTTCTAAATTATAGGGATTGAAATTGAAACAGTTACACATTTATCTCTGAGCTTTGCAACCTTATCACGATTTTCACGAATTTTGAAAGATGCGATCCATTGTTTGGACATTCCTTCACGTCGACCGAGACTAGATAAATACTCACAGAAAAGTACTCTTTAGCAGTTATTGGATTGCCTAAAGTTCTGTTCATGAAGTTTTTTCGCTATCATTTGTTCCAGTTATATCAGGCATGGTCCCGCGCAGAAAGTTAATTGACTCACCATATTGCTCGAGGTTTGTTTGGTTTTGTTGCCCGCCACAACTGTTAAGACCAAGAATGACGCAACAGCAAATAAACACAATAGAGCTAGAGAAACTTTACACGCTGTACTCATCGTGTCGGTTTTTTAGGGCTTTTTCTAAAGACGAAGTTGGAAAATAAAGTCAGAAATAAAATCAATTAAATGGTGAAACAAATCCTACCACTAGTTTTCTTAAAGTGTCGTGTTTAAAGTTTGCCTGAAAAAGACCCTCATAAAAACTAAATGTAGCTGAATCCTTAATCTTTAATAAAACTCGCAGTTTTCAATTTATCGTGAACTTACTCTCAGGGGCAGCCAACGACGGTTTCCTCTTAAACACATTGAAAATACTTTTTAGGCTATAATCCAGAGTACTTTTAGATAGCTAGAAATGCATTTCTAACCGCACCGTAATTTTTAGGGAGTTATTATAACTCCAAAAATGGAGTAAAAATTTTAGGTACAGGATAACCCCTTTTTTGGGGTTATTTTAACTCCTAATTTAACTCTGAATTTGGGGTCATTTTTACTCCTGAAAAAGAGTTCTTTTTACTCCCAGTCTTGGAGTTAAAATTACTCCGAAATGGGGTTACTTGCACTCCTTACAGGGGTTGTTTTTACTCTTTTTGGAGTTAATTTAACTCTGAAAGTGGAGTAAAAATTTTAGGTACAGGATAACTCCTTTTTTGGGGTTATTTTAACTCCTCAATATCTGGGGTCACTTTTACTCCTGAAAAAGAGTTCTTTAAACTCCTTTTTGGAGTTAAAATAACTCCACGAAAAATAACTCCACTCTAAGGAGTTAAATTAGCCCCACTAGAGGAGTTATTATAACTCCCTGAAAATTACAGTGCGGAGCTATAAAATGATCTAAAATGTATCTATTCGGTCATCCTAGAGGAACTTGAACTTTTTTGAAAGTACAAGGGCCTCAGGGTATTTTACCGAAAATTTTAGATGTAATTTAACGTATTACCAAACTGGTGAGAATTTTACTAATTCCTTTCTTTGTCACATTTTTGAATCTGAAAATTTTAAGTTTCCTTTTTTCTACGAAAAATAGCCCAACCCGAGGAGTGAAATGTGAAAAATTAAACTATTAATAGAAAATCGCAAGGGATTTATGAGATAGGCTTCGAAAATTGTACATGGTACAGTCATTTAGAAATTTTTATTTTTAGCCGTCCTAAAGTAATAGGAAATTATAGGCAATATTTGCTTCTCCGAACAGATATTTTACAGAAAACAGTCGCCTTCTTACCTTACTCAGTCACACCTATTTCTGTGCCCCTCGTCGCTTTTAAGAAAACGCACCCAAGGATGTATATATTTTCAAACTAAACAACGTTCGAGAAACAGATTTTGAAAGACTCTCCGATCAACTAAAAAAAAATGTAACTCCTCTTATTTTTTAAGCTGCCGCCCAGTTCGCGAATTCATTGCGAGTAAAGTGAGATTTTGCAGTCCGTTTGGATACTCGCATTGCATGAAAATCCTCAAAACAATTCCCGATTACTATGAATCGTTAGGAAGCGCAAATTACCGATACGAAGCGAAAAAAACCAGACTCAAAGGACTTTAAAAAAGCTGGAAAATTTGTTACCTGTGAACTCTTTTCTGCTCGAGTTGGTCGTCGTAAGTAACATAGGCCACGTTAGTTTAACAACAGCTTTTTCTTCCTTTCTGTTGATTCTTTGTTCGTGTTTTAACAAGTTTTTGTTTACTATAAATTGATTATCACTTTTGGGCTGATTGATAATGAACATTAAATATTGACTGAAAACTTCTTCATCCAAAAACTATCTAGTACTGTTAGGATTTTTAACTTCCTGTGTTTAGTTTTTGTTCCGAGTTCAGCATGAAGTTAGACTAAATCACACGTCGACGAAGATTTTACAGCAGATTTTTTTTTGTAATGAATTCACTTCTTAACAAAACAACTCCATACCAATGGGAACATGAATTACATAGGTACAAATTTTATTAGGTATTTTTGACTATGCTAAAGGTCCTTCTGACTGGAATACAGCCACTTCTAAAGTTTTCGTCACTAAATAATCACAAATGTAAGTTTATTGAAATTGATAGCAGTGTTAGTAAGAACATCCACAACACGAGGGGAAGTGGGCAGAACTTAATTCTCCCTAAAGTGAGATCAAACACTGCCAGAAAGGCTTTTTACCTTCATTTAATAGATCGAAACCTTTTGAAAATATTCTAAACAAAATTTTTTAGTATAACTCAGTCGTGATTTTTTTAAAATAATACATAATTTAGTATTTGGCAACGTTAATACAACCATCTAACATTTTTCAGTGCTTGATGAGATAGAAAAAATGAGGTTTTCCTGATTTATTTTCTATCGTGCTGGAAGACGTTTTAAACTTTGAATTTGTTGAGTAATGCTTTCGTTTGGAAATTACACATTAAATATACTCAATTGAGTCAACGCACACGATCTTTACAATAAAACAGTCTTTACAATAAAATAATGATATCAACCCGACTTGGTTACAAAAGGCAAGGGATTTTTAATTTTCCTTTAAAACGACTCTAAAAGATATTTTTGTGGGGTTGAGTTCTTACTAAATAGTAAGCCTGTAGTCATTGTTTGAACAGACTACCAAGGGGGGTACTCCCTTATTTGGCCTCATTGTGTCTCTGAAGAGGATATGATTTTCAAAGTCTTGAGTCTTTACAGGGTATACAATTTCACTTTTGATAATAAGCGTCTTGAACAAGGGGTCGATCTTTTTAAACCGGTAATGGGAAGGTTGGCGATGAGTGGTCTACTTTTGTGGTACTTACAATTATTTTTTCGAAATAAACCTTATTCTTTGATGTTTGGTTAGAAAAGGACATACGTTAAGTCAGTTGTCTTAAGCATAATTATAAAATAAGTTGTATATTAAGTATTTAAGGTTGTATTTAATTGCCTTCTCACCTCTCATGACTTAAACTGTCGCTCTCTATTAGCTCGCTTGTTTGCTCAACATGTTCTCGTTGATTTACTTATTTAGTGGGGCTATTGTCTTCCATTTGATATCATGCATGGTTGACGGTACTGATTATTGTCATTTTTTTACATCGCGAACTTCCCTATTGACTTTATTAGTATAGAACCCTTGAATAAACTCGAAAACGTTCCTTTGTAATAATAAAACGCGAAGATTGAAATTTGGAAAAGGGAAGAGCTTTACAGGCATTTCTAATAAAATACATTGCTTCAAAACAAATATTTTTCTGCGGCAAAATTTGCGATGGAAAGACCTTCTAAAAGCGCTCCCGCAGTCTACAATGTGAAACCTTATAACTGGCTATTTTCGTAAAATGAAATTATAACAACTTCTACTAGTAAATTTGCTTCCGCTATAATGTTAGAAGAAGCTAAAATTCGAGTGTGCGTTCGAGAAGTGGTCAAAGTTTTTTGGTTTGTGACAAACAAAACTACTGGGACAAGAAACTAAGCAATAAGGGCCTGTAGCACTTAACCGTATTGGCTATAAATGCACACATATTCTTTTAAAATTAAAAGCATTTTAATGTTACGTTTCATTCTTTTTTCAGTGAGTCTTGCTGGCGGAATCCTCCCAGACTATCGCTGTTGAAATTGGATTACACTATAATTGCTTTGCTTTTTAATTACTGTTAAAAAATGTTGCCGATAAAATAGAAGGAAAGTGATAAATTCGGTTTATTGTAAAATTTTTGTGTATCGAGTATCCGAATTATAATATGCCTAATAGCCATCAAGATAAGATCAGAGGCAGCAATATTAATGCACTCGTTGTCTCTACTGTGTGTAGTCTAATGAGAAACTGTGAATCTGTAATAACTGAAGAAGTTATCGAAATGCATGTTAGTTAAAACCATAACCACAACTGTGCTTTTAGGAAATATACACTGAACTCACAGCACAATTAGCCACAATAGATCACTCGCCATTACAGCTGTATACGACAGTCGATCCTAAGACGTGGTTAAAATTAGGGAGCTGTAGATTTTCTTTGGAGGCTTTACTTACCCTATTTAATTTGGTTCATTCTCCACGCTTTTCTGGAACTGAACAAGTGTTACTCGGCGTCCGAGTGTTACATTCCCTTCTCATAGTTACTTAGTGAACTTCACCGTAAAAGCTCAGTCGATCATCATCGTTCTCATTGCCAATAACAATCTCAGAGAGTTTCGGTGTTAAAATGCTTTCGCAGTGCAATGAAATCTTCAAATATTGTTTTTGCATTTTTCAAACGCTATAGTCAAAGCGCCGTTTGTTTCAAACGGGAGAAATATAGCGATAATTTATTCATTTTAATTCGAGTTTATATTCTTGTAGTGTTTTGTGGTCAAATGTTCACCTTTCGTATACTGCGATATTGTATGATAGTGATGATAATTTACGATACCCAATTATTAGCCGATGATGGCCTAATGCTGCGGTGTGATTTTTAATTGAGCGCAGCATTATATTAATAAAGGTTATAAGCCTCGCATTGTAGCCTCCTGGTAGTGTGATAGCAAGCTCTTGAACCCTTAGGAGGATATTGTGAAAAGCATACACGAGCGGCGGCGCTTGTTCTGTCGTATTCTCTCGCCGCTCGCTTCGTTCGTCACTCTTTCTCTCAGGCTAATCTTTGCAAGTAGAGAGTGAGGTCATGTTAATCAACGGTTTGAACTTGGTAACAAGAAGTATATTAAGTATAAATTTGCATTGAAAGGTGAACAAGATTGTTTCAAATGACCTGGAGATTATTATATGGAAAAAGTTTGACACCTCGTTACCTCACGGACCTTGCTTTATTGTGTAGAGAGCAAAATGAAAAAAAAAAAAAAAAAAAAAAAAGCAGAAGGAGAAAACACTAGTGCAATAGGATGTGGGCCAAAAAACGTCGGCAAATCCTCTTGTAACACAGTAAGGAGGCATGAAACTCATGTTGCATTTTGCGGAAAACGAAGCACAGTAATTTTGAACTCAGCCACAGAAAAAATTCAGTCCTAGTAATGAATCCCTAATTTTATTTGATATCATCAATTTTGAAGTCTAACAGAAAGACAAAATAGTAAAAAGTACCATTTTGCTAGGCATACACGGGAAA